CATATTCCAAAGATCAGCCAAAAAAAAAAAAGCTTAGTATTTACTTGTTTACTTTATTGAACATTTCTTTCAATGTAAGTTGTTTAAGTTGCTTCGTTTTTTGTGCTAATACTTTCTCTTTAATTCTCTCTTCTATAAACAGACATAATTTCTTTTTCAGTTACAAAGTTCCACTGTTCAAATTCTGTAATTGCTGTGTCGAGAATACCGACTAACTTGTCAATCGAAATTTTTTCGTTTTCAATAACCTCTTTGTCACTCTCTTCACTATCGGAAGTGCGCATGTGTAGCGGACTCGTGCATTAAACGCGCATGCGTAAGTTTGTGGCTTTGAGGTCTGGATTATAGATCATTCCGGATTACGGACTTTGTACTGTAGTTATGTGCCAAAATACAATGTCACTGAAACATATTTGTGGCAATACCAGGTAAGCATATAGCACATGTTTGTTTTGGCAGGTATGCAATGCCCAAGCTTCACGATGCCAAGTTTGTATAATTCTGTGACTTCCCTTTAAGCAAAAATGCATCTCTGTGTCCATGAGGAGAAGAACAGCACGTGAACTGAATGATTTAGAAGAACAAAAGATGCGTTTCATTACTGATGTTTCATGCTTTCAAAATTTGATTAATTGACTGCTCTTCTATGGAATTCTTGTACACTGCCAATTTGAAAGTGGGTGTTTCCTTTCACGCATTAAGTCTACGTCAAATTTGCAAATGCTGTCCAAAGTCAGTGATGAGTTTGCAACTTTTTGGCGAGGATGCAGATAATCAAAAAGTACCAATTTTGTTCTCATTCGACAATTTTGTGCACCTTAGTTTAATCTAAATACAGATTCAGTTCTAGTAATCAAGTATCAAAATATCGGGGAAATGGCTGTTGTATATGCAAAGTAGCTTCTGAGCATCTGTTTAAGACAGTAAATTTTAAGATTGTTTAATTAGACAATTTTGTGCACTTCAGTTTAATCTTTTGTTTCACAGGAACAATTTAAAATATAAATTTGCTGTTTGTAACATGAGATGGAAGATTTGAAATGTTTATATATATTATATTTGTGATTTAATGTGTAGAATGTCTGTAGTCAAAGTTCTTTTATTTTGATAGTTGTATAGCCCTAAATAATCATAAGAAATTAGTGGAATTTTAAGAAGTCTTGATAAAGCAATGGAAGGGATATTAAGGATAAGCACTTTCCAAAGTCCCCATTAGAGGGTACATTGCTGCTTTGATTCAAAATTGTTCAGCATGATGGCCACCACTGACGACAATCATTTGAAACCTTAAAATAGTGCAAACAATATGTATGCCATGACATGTTGCATATGTAATAAGATACACTTTCTCTCAATGTTATACTGTCATGAGAGATCGCATGTTTCAGATATTAGTCATACACAGGTAACAGTTGTACAGATTCAGTTCTAGTAATCAAGTATCAAAATATCTGGGGAAAATGGCTATTATGGCTTTTGTATATGAAAAGTGGCTTCTGAGCAACTGTCTGAGCACTAGATTGTGTATGGAGGAGCACCATTCTGTACAACTTTTTCCAAGGCACTGATGCATCTGCAGCCCATATGGCACAGCTATGTGTGTTAATAGCACCATCCAAATGAAAATCCTTGTACATGATGTTTGAATGCTATTCAGTATCAACTTCACGGTACACTGCTCCCAAGATTTTATTCATGCACCTGAAATTTTTAAATAAAATTATATTAACAATATAGTATTTTTAGTATAGAATAGTATAGCATGTAATACAAGCCTACTGTAGCAATCTTGCGAGCAACTCAACGCTCGCAAATTTGAATGAGTTGGAATTCTTGAACTTAGCGCAACGGAGCTCTTTTGGGTTAGCGGTAAAGAATTCGATTCGTAATAAACTGATCCAGGATTGGCTCATGCGATGTGCCACTTCTCACTGGTGTTAATAGATGGCAACACGAGCAAGCAACTACCGAGGCTTCACGAACCACATGCTTGCTACATCGGTGAACCGGAAGTGATTTTATACTGCAAAAATTCAGTTTAGAAGTGCCAAAAATACATTTTGCAACATTGATGCATCAACCATAGTCGTTTAACTTTTGAAAAACTGTGTGTAAGTGCTTATGGTGTGACTCTTTTATCTGGAGAAGCGATTAGTATGTCATCTAATAGCAGAACGTAAAGTCTAATCCTGATAGAACCATATTCATGAATCGCTGAAGTGTCTGTGCCGTGTTGCATAAACCAAATGTCATGAATGGGAATTCAAACAGCCCAAAAGGAGTTATAATGGCCGTTTTGGGGGTGTTGCTTTCATGTACTGGAATTTGTTGATAAGCTCTAATTATGTCAATGGAGGAAAAATCTTCTTTCTGTGTAGAGTATAACCACAGTCGGTGAGGAATGGTAGAGGATGCGAGCATTTGGTTCGTGAAGCCTTGGTAATTGCTTGCTTGTGTCACCATCTATTAACACCAGTGAAAAGTGCCGCATCATATGAGCAGGAACTGATCCTGGATCAGTTTATTCCGAGTCGAATTCTTTACTGCTAGCCTCAAGGAACTCTGTTGCGCTACGTTCAAGAATTCCAAATCATTCAAATTTGTGAGCTTTGAGTTGCTTTTAAATCGCTACACGCTCCTCTTCCAAGCATCTATAATATGATATGAGGAGATGGTTGAGAAACCCTGTTTTGTTGGCATATGTGTCACTGTATGTTTGTAGGGTGTAGCATTGGACGAATTTGGAATAAGTCATTTTTTGTCAGTGGAATAAGTCATTTTTTGTCAGTGGAGGGAAGAATCTGTAGTTCTCCAGCTCACCAATGTAGTGAGTACATAGTTTATGGAGCCTCAGTAGTTGCTTACTAATTTTGCTATCTAGTAACACCAGTTAGAAGTGCTGTATTGCATATGAGAGATATAGTAGTGTCAGTTGAAGGCTCTAAGAACCTGTGCAAGCAGGTATCTGATGTGGGTTCGGGTATGTTTTGTATAACCTCAACTTTCGTCCTTCAGATGTTTTATTTGTGACAAGGAGAGCACCACCCAATTTTTAATCGAGACTGACGACGAAATTTCTGCGTTCCCACCATTATGAAAAGAAAGAAGAGTTGTTGCAAAGCTGGAACTCTTCACTGCAAATGGAACCAAAATTAAGATGTAATGTGCAAGAGTTGCTAAAATTGGATTTGGCACTGAGAAGGGCATTTGATTGGCCTTTTGTCATAGCTGATGTTAATAAACCAATAATAGATATTGACTATTTATCTCACTTTTACCTTTTGGTTGACAGCAAAAATCGTAAATTAATTGATCACGTCATTTCATCATCTTCTGTTGGTGACCCCTCGTATGGTGTCGTTTGACCAATGGTTCATATAGTACAGAATCAGTACGAAGTAATCCTCAAACATTCATTCAGCACCATTTCATTTTAACTTTGAGGGCTTCGTTACCTCATGCTACAGTTTTACCCTTGGATTATGTAGATCCTACAATTGTGTTTCTGTGCTGTTTTCCTACAATTCTACTCGTTCTGTGATGATGGAGAGTGATGTTTTTACTCCTAATTATACTGATGCGATGTCTGCTACAAGGAATTCAGTTATTAGTCTCTCTGATGATCTCATCGTCTACAGAAACCAAACACTTGACGAATCCTGGCTGGACTCGATTACTAAGGACGTATTTAACCTATAGGACTTCGTTAATGCTATTCAATATGCAGACATTATTAAACAGAATATTAATTCTTGGGCACATATGCTAGAATGGAACGAGGTAATAACAAGCGAGAAGGATAAAAACATTCTGCAAAGTTTGTTCCAGAGGAGACATACTCTCACTGAGGAGTTACTCAATATCATTCGGAGTAAGTGCGAAAATTTTGCTTCTTCGAATCCCAGTGCTAATATACCACTTAAAGATTTTTGTCTTGAAAAATGCTAGTAATGATGTTAAATGTGCTACTGAAAGTAATAATGTTAAAAATGCTAATGAAAATAACTATTGATAATACTGTTGCTAATGATTTTGATAATTGTAACGAAAAATCAAGTCTACGACTAAAAGATCTAAAAAACCTAATAAAGAACCAATTAATGAGAGTAGAGATGAAGATGGGTTTGTTTTACTCAAAAATACTAGCTGCCATTCAAAACTTGTTAAAAACAATGTTGGTAAAAAATATATTTATGGGTACACCTTGGCGAAAATTTCTACTTTTGGCGGTACACGGATACCAAGATTATGCAGTTCTTTGGCTTGTTATTTTGGCTTGTGGCTTTTTGCGCCAAAAATCGCCACTACACAAAGCCAAAATAACAAGACAGAGAATTGCACAAACTCGGTATCCATGTACACATGGACCTATTTTCACTTGGAAAAAAATCAGAGCATTGCACACTCCTCTGACTTTATCCATGTACACATTGACCTATTTTCACTTAAAAAAAAATCAGAGAATTTCACAATTAGGCATTGTGCCCTCCCTTGACTTTGCGACTTTGTAGCATGTACATATCGAACTATATTCGCTTAAAAAGTCAGAGGAGCAGCCAACAAAAATTATATAATCTCAATAAACTACATTTTAAATCAAACAATGAAATTGAACAATGAAAACACAAAATTATGTCTTATATTTACATTTTTGTAGTTGGAGAATACTGTTCAGTGAAACAGTGGTTAAATATAAAGCAGGAAAATATAATGATCCTTCAACATTTGTAGTACGTGCAAAGTGAATAGGCTGTCGCCATGTGTGTATCCCAAAATACGCGAAGAACATAGTATAACTGAATGTTAAATCTGAAACTAGAGATAATCAGCAAGTACCAAATATTTTCATACTTCATAATTTTTGATTGGAATAGTTAATTATATAAGGGTTAAAATATAAAAGTTTGAAATAGTTTCCTTCGATAAAAAATGAAAAGACAAGACATTTTCTTACAATGTTTTTCGAAAAGGTTTTTGCAAGATTTTTTTTTTTTTTTCAGATAAACAAAGATGGCAGTGGTTATTTGGATGTTAGTGAGCTGAAACAAGCATTAGAAATTGTTGGATTCAAAATCCCTCAATGGCAAGTTCGTCAAATGATTGATGATATGGAAAGAGGTCGTCCTATTAATAAAAAAGGACAGCTATCCTTTGATGAATTTCAAAAGGTAGTGTGGTTTGTATTTAGATTTTCACTTTTTTTTTTCTTTTTTTAATTTTTATACCTTTCAATTTCAGATAGTTTGAATTGCAGTTTTTTGATTTTACAAATGAAAAATTGCCATTTTGATAAACTAGTGTTACAGATTATTTTAGCTGGACAATAATTTATATTTTTGTTTTGTTTTAAACCGTAGAATATTTGAGAGTGAAAAAAAGCAATTGTAATTAACCCTGTTAAACTAATGAACTGTGTAATTAGCTAATTTGTGATAATATTTTGTGATATAAACAATTGTTTTCTTGAAGTTCGTGTAGTATTTAAAATTTTCAAATAATTCATTTTTAATATACCGTATTTACGCGAATGTAATGCGCATCGTTTTTGGCCAAATGTAATATTCAAAATTGGGGTGCGCATTAGATTCGAGTGCAAAGTTCGCCGATGACGTCAGCAGTTCGCTGATGACGTCAACCAAATTTAAATCGTAACAATGGATGACTGTATTTCTCGACTAGATTTACCGTTACATTTTTGACACATTATTGCATAGAGGATACAAACTGCAGAGTACGTAGTCACGAAAGGGAGGGCAAACAGCGGAGAATGTCATATGACGCTACTTTCAAACGTAAAGTAATTCTTTATGCTGAAAAAAATGGCAATAGAAAGGCAAGGGAGAGTTCAACGTAGCTGAGAGCAATGTTCGCTTGTGGCAGCAACAGAAATTGGCACTGTTTGCAACTAAAGCTAGTAGAAAGAAATTGACTGGCCCTCGCAAAGGAAGACACCCTAAACTTGAAGAAAAAGTTTTGGAATTTGTACGTAAAAGGAAGAAAAAGGAACAACCTGTGACTAGTGACACCGTAAGAAATAAAGCAAAACAGAAAGCTGAAGTTCTTGGAATACCGAAACAAGAGTTTACGGCTAGCCAGTGGATGGGTGGATCAGTTTATGAAGCGGATGGGCTTATCTCTAAGACTCCGTACAACAATATGCCAAAAGCTTCCTGCAGATTTTGAGGGAAAACTACTAATATTTCAGCGGTATGTCATCACACTTCGGAAGGAAAAGAATTTTTCAGTGGGGCAAATTGGCAACGCTGACGAGACGCCAATTTGGTTTGATATGCCTCATAACTACACCATTACGGAGAAGGGGACTAAGGAAGTTATCATTAAAACTTCGAGATGTGAAAAACAATGCGTAACAGTGTTGCTGGCAATAACAGCAGACGGGTGCAAACTTCCCCCTTTCTTAATCTTGAAACGGAAAACAAGCCCTAAAACCCCTAAGAATGAAAAGCTGTTCGCAGATGATGTCCTGATTCAAAACCAAGAGAAGGGGTGGATGACGGAATCATTAATGCTTGATTGGCTCCAAAATGTGTGGGAACGCCGTCCCGGTGGGCTCTTCAATCCACCATCAATGCTTTGTCTGGAACCATTTCGTGGTTATCTCACCGACGACGTAAAAAAGAAGACGCACAGCCTAGGCAGTGATCTTGTAATCATTCCTGGAGGGATGACGTCTGTGTTACAACCACAGGACGTTAGTATAAATAAACCTTTTAAGGGGTACGTTCAGGCGGAGTACGAAAAATGGTTTTGTGAGCCAAACCGTGAATTGACCCTGATAAGGAAAAATTAAGCGTACTGCACCGCACATTGTTACACACTGGGTTTCTGCTGCCTGGAAAAGCATCGAAGATCCAATGATTGCGAAATCTTTCAAGAAATGCTGCATTTCAAACTCATTGAATGGCAGTGAAGATGACGTGCTCTGGAACGCCGAGGATGACGATGAGGAAAGAAGAAATGAATCTGCTTCTGACGAAGAGAGCTGAGAGGATTCCAGTGATGAAAACATTAGTGAATAAAGACGATTACTATCAATCACTGTTTGTAGAAACTGTTAGCTATAGAAATGTTATGATTTATTTCATGTTCATATTTTACGATAGGTACCGTATATACGGTAGTGGTAATTAACAATGATTGTTTCACATAACAATAGCCCACTAATAGGTTAATTCTATGCTCTGCTACTTTATGTATAAATCCATTGTTGTATAAAATATGGTATCTAAATTTAAATAAAATTATCATACCATTGATTGATAGTTTTTATACAAATGCATATTTGTATAAAATAAGATTAAATAAATTCCTCATACCGTTGATGCGCATTACATTTGCCGACAAACAATTTTTTTATTATTTAAAGTTTTAAAATGGGGATGCGCATTAGATTCGATGGCGCATTAGATTTGAATAAATACGGTACCATCAGTAGGGAATTTATTGTTATTTCCTCTAAGTTATACCAGTAATTTTTGTATTTGATGAAATGTGGTAACTTAGAAGAAGTCCTGTGTGGTTCTTACATATTTTTTCTTGTATACCAGGTATGACAAGATTTAGTGAATGTGTTAATAAACAAAGGTTTCTTACCTGAATCAGGGAAAATGTTTTAAAATGTCTTTGATGTAATGTCTGTTGTTTGTCATAAACTTTTAATGACGACTGTACAGTTTCGAAAAACTGCAAGCAAAGTCCTTAGTATTATTATATGGAGAACCCTCATCACATAGTTTGACCGTTTGGAATATTCTAAAATCATTCTTTTAGAGCTACTTTATTTCAGGTGCAGGAACAAAAAGAAGGCAAGAACAAGATCAGGCGAGTATAATGGATGATTGAGGGTTACATCTCCTCTACATGTTATAAACTGTTTCTGAGTGAGGGCCAAATATGGCTGACCATTATTATGAAGTACCAGAAGCTTGCCTGTGTGTATTCTGGATGTACATGATGGATCCTTTCCAGTAAATTGGCCTGAATACCCTTCTACATGATAATATTTATTGTTATTCCTTCTGGCTACATCTTCACTTTTTCTATATTTTTGACACAAGATGTTAGTGTCTTCAGTTGAAACCTATTCATCTCAAAAGTGTTTAAACCATCCATAACTGTACTTTAAAGTTACAGTTTCACCTCCATAAACTTTTACTTCATAAATCATGTCATAACTTTCGTAGATTTACAAAGCCTGAAAAAGAACATTTAATTTGTTCGGTATTCTGTTGTACAGTCACTGTTACACCTTTGCATGCTAGAAGTATTACTAACAGAAATCCATAATTCCTATTCCTACGTCAAACTTGAAAATTGTTTAAATAGCTTTTCCATGCTTTGTTATTTGCTGCAACTCAGTGTTGTGATGTCATTCACTGAACTTCTTTGTTATGCAAAATGTGTTAATGTACATTTTAAGAAAAGTAATTGCTTGTAGGCTGGTTGCAAACATGTTGAATTGCTTTTAAAACAATTTTGCAATGAGATATTTTTATAAAATTTAGCATTGTTCATATAAATTATTATTTCTGAATTAAGTTTGGCTATGCTGGTTGAAGTTTATTTTAAGCTTAAGGTTTTCATTTATTAAGAATTTCTTGTCAGAAATTCAAAAATTTTTACTATCCTTATTTGTTTTGAAAGCATCATCATATGGTTACATTAGTTGCCTCTTAGAGCCATGTTAATTGAAAAACCTTTTGAGCAGCACTTGCACTGAAAGCCTCATCATAAGGTTACATTAGTAGCTTCTTAGAGCCAGTATTAGGTGCAACTTTTGATTTTTAATCCTCAGACTTTTTCCTGGTGAACAGTAGTATTCAGCTGCTCCAGTCAATGAAAAGGGACATTTGTGTCTTCCAAGTTGTGTTCTTAGTTAATGACTAGCAGTTTTTTTGAAATAAGTTAATAAGCTTGTTGTCAGTAAGTTGCTCAAAAGGTTTTTGACTTGATAGAGCTTTTACTGCATTTCTAAGAAAATGCTTTTGCACCTCTCCTTGCCTAAGATTTTAATTCCATTTTTTTTTTTTAATTTTAGAGCTTCAATTTATGAAATATTTATACATGTGTGAAGCTTTATTATTTTTATTCTGCCATCCGTACAATTATTTTACATTCTGATATAGCTTAAGAATTTTTTTCTAGATTTATAGTGAACTAAAGTCAAAAGAAGTTACTAATGTTTTCAAAACTGCTGTCACAAAAAGGGAAAATTTAGAAACTTTAGGTGGCATGTCTGAAGCATCTAGTGAAGGCACAACTCATTCTGTGAGGCATGAAGAGCAAGTAGCATTTTCTGATTGGATAAATACGTATGTATATCTTTTGATTTATGCATGAGTGTATCTAAAAGTTAATTCACTGTATGTTATGATTATTTATGTTTTACATTAATGAGAACTTTTTTGAAAAATAAATTACAAACTCAAAATGATGCTATTGATTTGGGATAGTTCGATTTAATTTTGGTAAAATTCCTCAGGACTCGTGTACACCAATGAAATCAAGTTTCTGAAACATTCTCAAAATTCGCTATTTCTGGGCATGAATGCCATCAGTGAAGATTTAAATGCTGCTCTTTTTCATAAAGTAGATAAGACTTTGTTGCTTGCTACAATCTGTTATTTTTAAAGAAACTAAGTATTAATAAATTACAGGATTTAAAATTACTACTTGCATACAAGGTAGGATTCAAAAATTCCCGTACTGATTCTATAACATGAAAACTATTATAAATAAAATTGCAGAAACACCTCCTTCAAAATAAGACCCTTGTGCAACAATACACTTTTGCCAGTGTCTGTAAAGTTCATCGAAGCATGTCTGGAATCCATTTTTGTCCATGTCCTTTAATTCAGCGTGCGATGCACATTTAACTTCATCTGAAGATTGAGATTGATGACCCTGCAAGCATCTTGCTAGTTCAGGAAATAGGAAGAAATCATAGGGTGCGAAATCATGTGAGTGAAGAGGCTGAAGCAAAACAGTTGTTTTCGTTTTCACAAGAAAGTCATTGACGAGTAAGGATCGGTGAGCAGGAGCATTGTCATCCAACAGCACCCATGGCTGCTCAGCCCACATTTTTGGTCTCTTCTTCCAGATTGACTAACGTAAATGATGCAGGATTTCAACATAGAGTTCTTTGTTCACAGTGCATCTTTCAGGGATAAATTTCAGATGCACAATGCCCTGGATATTGAAGAATACCTTTAGCATGACCTTTCCTTTAGAGCGATCTTGGCGGAATTTCTGCTTCTGTGGATATTGTGATTTCCAAGTTGCCAATGCTCTCTTGGTTTGCGGGTCGTCCAAAAAAATACCATTTCTCATCTCCAGCAACAATTCTTCCAAGTAGAGAAGAATCTTTGTCAGCTGCCAAGATTAAGGTCTCCTGCCATTTCCATTCGAATCCCCTTTTGGTCTACGTTTAACATGTGGGGAATGATGTGTTGACACACCCTAAGCATTTTAAGATCCTAAGTCAGTATCCACTGATATCCTGGCTGATTCTATTTGGCATATTGTTTGCTGCCTATTTGCACGTACCACCACAGACACCTTTTTGGTGTTTTCGTCGCTATGCAAAATCACGGGACAGCCACAGTGTTCATCATCTTCGCACTTTCCCTGCCTTCTTTGAAACGACAATGCATGTCTCGCTTGCATTCTCTATAACATTTCACTTCTGTACGCATGCTTCAACGTTTCAAAAGTCTCCGTAGCACTCTTTCCCAAGCGTACACAAAATTTGATATTGATTCCCTGTTCAACTGTCGCCATTTCTTTCTACTGCCGATTACTAAAAGCACCTGCCTACAAAAAACGCAGTCGCCGCGAGCTTTCGACCACATAATTTGTGACAAACCACTTTTAGAAAAGGGAGATAATGTAGTAACAAAAAAATGTTCTCATAGTCACACTAAAAAATTTTTACATTATAGACTCAGTCCAGGAACTTTTAAATCCTACAAAGTATTAGCCTGTTGACCGTGAGAGTTGGAAGAGATAATGCGAATCGTTCCTGCAGAATTCTGAAGGAATAGGCACATCTTTATTTAATAAACAAGCAGTATTAGACCCCCTACATTTTTGTGCTTTGTAAAAAGGCTCTTGTCAGTTTCTACTATTTTGTTACATCCTCCCATTTTACTGGAAGCTCTGTTTAGAATGCTATTAGTACAAAGTTCAGACAAGTAATTGTTTCAGTCTGTACTGTTGGCTATTAAAATTGCTACACCATGAAAGCAGCATGCAGCAAACTTCAAATGTGTATGAAAGGTACCTTAAGTGACTAGTAATCCACTGCATGTGCTCAAAGCAGGTATGAATAATATTATCTGCATTGTGTATACATGGGAAGATTGCATAGTGGGTTTCTCGTTTGAAAATTGCATTTGAACATTGGTTACTTGACTAAAGCTCATGTTAGGCCTCTTGTAAGGAGAAATTCCTCAGCACATGTTGGAATTCAGCCACTGCAGGATCATGGCCTGTCAGCACTGCTGTGTATCATTCCACAATATTGCTGCTTGTATTGTGTGAGGTTTGACATTTGTTAGACAAATGCATAATCTATGCATCCAGGACAACCATAATGAATAGCATGCAGGATATGAATGGCCCTGGGCCACTAACAGCCGAGAGGACAAAATATGTTGCCCTCTCAGCCTTACAGGATCGTGCAACCATGTATTGCCACTTGGCTTGTGTGTAGGATGACCAGTGTCCACATGGACAGTGGAGTGATGCATGTCACCATGGATTGTCTGCCACAGCAAACATTCTTGCTGCTTCCCTTGACATTGAAACTATAGTGGTTTGAGAAACGGTGCTTTGCACAGCATAGACATCAGGTTGTCCTTTCAGAGAATTTCCAGTTCTGCATCTTTGTCCCAGATGATCTTGTCATGGGTTTCTGAGAAACTAGCACAATACCACTCCCCAGCTACTATGATTGATGAACTTAGTTTAGATTTGAAGCTGCATAGATTGAAGTATCTGTCATCCAAGCACAGTTAAACTTCAGTACCTACCTAGATTATAGCCTTTGTTGCTTCCAAAAGCTCTGTCTACTGAATTCTGCTCATTGTGTATTCTAAACCACCTGCAAATTCATGTCTTCCCATCTGATGGAATATACTGTGTATGTCACAATAAATAAGATTCTGCTATTTTCTTTCTTTCCTGGGGTAGCAGTTTTCATGGTCAGATGTGGATTACTGTTTTATCTACCATATTTTGATTACCATATCATATCCATTAATATATCTTTTTTTGATCCCATATCATTGAAAATAACCCACTACTTGCTGTTCTATAGAAGGTAGGTCTCAAATTTTAATAACTTTTAAATGAAAGGGAAAATGCAGCATTAGCAATGATTTATATTTTTGTTCCTACAAACAGAAGGTTGCTTATTGAGAATTAGTCAGGGTTACACCAAGCCTAAATATAAGTGTGTTATATTATGCTTAGACATAATTAGTGCTGAATTGCACTGCTTGATGATCGTGTCACAGTCTACAGCATAATAAACCAAAATACCAAAATGACTAATATGCCACTTAGAAAGAAATATGTTGTAACCAACCAAAAGAAGTACAGTGTAAAGTCCAAAATCCAAATGTCCAATAACCTTCAGGGGACCCTGCCCACCAGCAATTCCCCTATAAGGTCCCACCTTCTTGGCGTGCCTTTGTGGTGTAGTGGTCTGCACACTTAGCACGTAATTAAGAGGTCCACGGTTAGATTCACGGCAGTGTTGCTAATTTTTCATCTTGCCTGCTTCAAAAAAAAAAAAATCCTGATGTCTCTACAGTGGTGCCCGAACTAAAAGGGTGTTGGATGATGATTCTCCTCACCCAGGATTTGGCGATAGGGTTCCCTAAAAACCCCAATCGCCCTTTAAAAGGAAGAGTGTATAAAGTATTTCTCCCACCTTCTTTTCGTGGCGTAGGGGTCTGCACGCTCAGTGCATCATTGAGAGGTCGATGGTTTGATTCCCGGAGAAGGCATTGCTAATTTTTCATCTTGCCTGCTTTCAAAAATACCTAATGTCTCTACACACCCTCCCCCATTTTTTATAACTTTTGTGAAAAGAGAGAAAGAATTTTGTTCTGAGAGTAGCATATATTTAATACTTTACACATGTGCAGATGCATAGTAGACAATTTCAAAATAAAACGTGGAGGGTCCTGATTCTTTATATCACTTTGGCATTAAGAATCCCTGAAGAAACACGTTATTTATTAGCATAAATCCATATAATCAGTAGTTTTGCACCATGGCTGCCTTATTGCTCAGCATGCAATAAAAACGTTCAAAGTTTATTGCTGCTTTTAGGCCTATTGACTATCATATAACAAATTCTGCCCTAGTGAATCTTGTTTTATTATTTTTTCTTTTATCACCACATCACTATCAACTCAGGATAGCTTGAGAAATGACTCATGGAGCTATGTCTAAAATAAGTTTTGTTTTAAATATCAGTAATTGAATATCAAATACCATGTAAACTTTTAATCAGACCGTTAGGTTTGACGATAATTACAAACTTAAGCGTACTTTGTTGTGTAATGATAAGTGTGTTAATGAGGAGAAATTTAATAGAAGTTTGTAAAAATAGATTTTGTAATCGATATTCATAGACCATTAATAATAACTGATTTGTTGTTCCAATTAGCCTTAGGCTACATTTCTGTTATGTCACTTGCCATGTTTTTTGGCACATGGCAGGTGATGATCAATCAGTCATCATCTGCCAGGCAGTGTGTTTGCGATCTGTAAAGTGTTCTTATAACTAGGTATTATTTATGATAAAAAAAGTGCCCAAAATGCATGGCAGGTGCATGATGGAAAAGTATGGTCTGAAGTATATGTGGTAATTTATTTCTTTGGGACTCGGATCAGCCTTAAGCATATGCAGGAAATAACCATAAGTATAATAAACAAAATAATTAATATAATTCAGGCTTAATGTACTCATCACACAGTGGAAGAAAGACAAATTTTAGGGAAACAAAATGTTTTTAGTTGGCAATCTCATGATACGTTACCAATTAGTATCTAGCAGATACTTGCTAAGCTTTAAGATGTTAGCCCCAAATTTGAAAGTTTTTGGATATCGCAAATAAAAAGTGAAATTTTCCCATTATTGGAATTTGTGATCTGGAGAAAGCAGTAATAAATGAAGATGATATTACAGAAGTGTTCCATTGCGATGATAATGCATCAATAATAAATCAACTAACGGATGACCAAGTGTGTAGTATGGTTCGAAATCCAGGAAATTTTGCTACTGATATTAAGAATGTGACAGAGAGGTTCTTAAGAACAAAGAAATTTTGATTGACAATTTAGTGGGAATTCTTGAATGATAATCAGGACTGTGTAACTGAACAAAATTGGTTTTTCTGTTAAATTAAACAGAAGGTATTAGTGCAAGAAATGAAGAAAACTAAACAACTTGCTTTGAAAGAAATGTATAATAAAGCAAAGAAATAAATATTGGGCCCTTTTTTTTTCTTTCTTTTTTCTTCTTCTTCCTTTTTTTTTTTTTTTTTTTTGTAAATTTTAATTCTATTAAGGTTATAAATGCTTCATTATTTCTGAAACAATTATTTCATATTTGTAATTTCTACATGTCATTTTCCTAGATATGAACCGGTGATCTTGGGAAAATCCAGAATATTCCCAAATCCCGAATTGCCAAAGGTCTCATGATTCCAGATCTAAGATTTTTGGTATTATATATATTTCTCCTCTCATTTTGAAGTTGAACTTGCTGGAAGGAATTCTCCAGAGTTTTTAACTTTGCTGCTTTTATCGATAAATAAAAGTAGACTTGTGTGGTTGTCTTCTGTATGTGCCATGGCATAAGAAAATATTATCCACCCCGAGCCATAAGCTGTCTGTTTGTAACCGTTTTATGTTATATTTCAAATATGAATATTTGAAAAGTCCTTGTTAAGTCTTTATTATGAAAGAAGGAAGCTTACATTCCGTTTACAAGTTTAATTTAATAATTCATCCATTGCTGCCTGTTTTTCTTTTTACATTTCATTAAAAACTAAAACACTTACTTCTGAGAAATCATTCCATAATTTGTTTGCATTGTTCTTATAAACAATGATCTATTATCAATAAAAAATAGTTGGAGAATTTTGAAAACTTGGCATTGTACACTGACTATGATCAAAATCTACAAAGAACAGCTGAAACCTCATCATGCACTGCAGCATAATGAAAATAAAAAGAGCAGAAAAATGACCGTTTAATTTCAAAAATGCAAATGTCATGGGTTCAAATACGTATGTGCTATGCATGTAACAGGGTTGCTAATTAAATACTATTGGGCAACGTCATGGGTTCCTTCATCAATGCTTTTTTTTTTTTCATTTGGGAATGTGGATAATCAGAAATTATCACAATTGCTGAAAGATTAAGGATTAATCCAAAAATGTTTGAAGTATATGTGAAATTTTCAATGACCAGTTATTTATTAGTGTTTGAATCATCAAAATTTTGGAGGAAAACAAAAAGTTTGATGAAATTTTTTGTTAATGTACATAAAAATGCTACTAATTTTGTGTTGATATCCTTTGATTCGCTATTTTCGTCTACATCAGGTATGTAAGAGATTAGTAATGTTGGAACATAGAAATTAATTATGTATTATATAAAAAAAATTGGGTGTTTTGTTTTTCATATGGATTGAGTAATTTTCTGTAGTTGAATGAAAGGGATATTAAAAATGTCATCTGATCTCAAGCAGTGCCCCCTATTCCAACATACAACAGTAGAACTTTGTAATGAGAATTGAGAGCATTATATGGTAAATGCTTTCATTTGCTATGCTGTGAAAATTGGAACAAATGAAATGAGTTTAACCTCAAATTTTCTTTCTTTGCTTCATACCCTCTTGACTCTGCAGAGGCTTTTGGGAGATCCATATTTTTTCCTCAATTAATTTAGAAATTAGACTTCCTGAGAAAATATTTTAATTATTGCCAAGAAAATTAAAATAGCTGCATCATTTTCATTCATATTAGACATGCACAATATTTAAAAAGCTGATTTTAAGGGGCTTCTTAAAAAATTATTTTTATAAAAGTTACTGAAAAAACTATTCTTTTCATAAAGTCCGTATTCTTTTTAATGCCTCCTTTCTTCATCTGAATGAAGTTTTAAAATATTAATAATCATGTTTTTATTTCAGGAATTTAGGAAATGACCCTGATTTAAAACATCTTTTGCCAATTGATGGTGACGGTAAAACACTGTATGATAAAGTAAAAGACGGGATTCTTTTATGGTAAAACTTCAATTATTTAATTGTAAAACTTTCTTACAGATAAAATTTTCTATCTGATTATTGTGTGCTGTTTGTGGTTTCTTTCAGTTATTTACATTTTGCAATTTTTAAATTTTTTTTTTTAATGTATGCTGGTTTCTAAAATTATCTGTGCATGAAATAAACACTGGTTTCTTAAAAGCTGTAAAAAATCCAGTTTATTTGAAGTTATACTTAACATCATAGCATAAATACAAACTGAAAAATAGAGTATGCAATACGAAAATTGAAATAAGAGGAGATATGAAATTTTGGAAAGGAGTCAGTTCATCAAATAGATTTTGACATCACTAGGGAGCATGATCTTCCCTATTAGGGCATATATATCACAAAGCAATTCCATGCTGTCATTAAGGTGATTAATTAGATTTGGAGAACCAAGCTGTGTTTTTCCTCCATTATAGTCAGTCTGCAAATGACAGATCTGTAGAATTTTTCATATACCAGCAGTCAAGAGTGGTCTTTGCATTTCAAATCAGATTTGACTATCCTGTTTAATGGCTGGTCTTTAATTCAAATTCATCAATTAGTTTTGTCAGTATAGAAACACCTTATCATCCATTAAAAAAATTTAAATCCACATGCACATCTAGAAAGGCTTTATGTAGAACTGTAAAACTATCTTGGTATCTCTTGCAACTTTAGATATCAACACTTGCTAAAAGGTGAGAAATGCCCCAATCTGTGCCATTATCTTTGATTCATATTTTGACTGCCCAAATCTTAAATCTTAGTTTGAAACATTTTGGCTTGTTCAGTCCATTACTATTTCAGTTAATTGGAATCAATCCTTATTTTAATCTGTTCCACTTTTTAAAAAATTCCTTTTGCTATAAACGGTAACTTTCAATGATAGTTATATTTTTAACCCAGAGAAAATTGTTTATAACTCTTTGCAGTGTTTAATTATTATATTAGGATATTTGAGATTCTTCTCTGCATTATTCTTTTAGACTTGAGGGAAGTTTTTAGACTTTTTCAATTTCAGCTTATTTCTTTCTATTATTCAAATACCTTTTATAGCTGCATCTACTGTAACTATATGCTTGGCGCATCATGGCTAAGCAGGTTTGTGCACCATAAAACAGCACTGCTATGATGTCAACTTTCGATAAATCCTTCACCGAGCTCATGCACAGGAAAGTACATGTACTGTTCATTATGACTTTTATACATTCATGTCTGCAGTTCTATAACAATAACCTCTAATATATGGAAATGTGTGTAGAATTGGATATTCGTTCATTACTGAAGCAAACACTAGAACACTGAGCACAGCATCACTAGCACTTCATTACGGAAGAGAACACTAGCACAGTGTAGACTTCAGCTGTGATGCTCTTTGCACCTGTTCAGGTAGATCCTTTTTATTGTTTGGGCAGTGAAACCATTGCCTATGTGTCATAAAGGCATAAAGCTCAGAGAAAAGTTTCAGTGGTGATATATGCCCTAAACTCAGTTGCCAGGTAGTCAATTTTTTTGTTGAGCAAACAGTTACCAAAAAAAGCCTATTTTGAAAAGCATTGAATTTTGTGTTGTGATGTCCTGACCCCATAAAAACAAGTTTCAGAATCTTTAAATTGTTTTCAGAAGACAGAAACTCTCATGAAGCATTCAGCCGTATTGCCACTGTGTTGTTCTAAATGGCCAGTAACTGCACATCTCAGATGATACTTTGGCACTAGGAAAAACTGTTGTAACTTGATAAATGCCAAAATTGCAAAAGTTTGCAGTGAAGTACTTAGTGGAAGCACTTACTGTGTATTTGAATGATATCATCCATCATTTGCATTTTAGAAATGAAGTATGCGACTTGGCTAATTTTAATTTGTTTTCTTTTTGCTCATCCCAGTGAAAAAATAAGTCAGATTTTGGTTATTTTGTAATAAAATTCTTGCTTATATGAATGTACAGATAATTTTGTGCAATGTAGATTAGTGCTATTTAATAGCATTTGGTCCTAGGAAATTTTGTAACAATTTAATATGTATTCTTTCAATTCCCATGAGAGTTCTGTAGTTGTATATTCAGCAGAGTGTATTTTTATTTACCAGTTATTTTTCATTTTTCACTGATTGTATGTATAATTTTTCTTTTCAGCAAGATTATTAATCATTCCTGCCCAGATACTATTGATGAACGTGCTATTAATAAAAAAAATTTGACTGTATACACTAAACATGAGAATTTAACCTTGGCTTTAAATTCTTCTCAAGCCATTGGGTGCAATGTTATAAATATTGATGCGCACGACTTAGCAAAAGGGAAACCACATTTAGTTCTTGGTCTTCTATGGCAAATAATTAGGGTAAGTAGTCTTTGGAAGTGAATTTCAGCCAAGAGTTAGTATCACTAATCTTTGTTTAGCCTGTAATGAACCTCGCAGCTATATTTTTCAGCACAGTTTTATTTCATTGTAATGAATTACATTTTCTAAATTTTAAAACCAATTTTTTAGATTGGGCTGTTTAATCAGATAACATTGGAACACTGTCCAGGTTTAGTGCAGTTGGTTAACAGAGGTGAAGAAATGTCTGACCTAATGAAATTATCTCCCGAGAATATTCTTTTAAGATGGGTGAATTATCATTTGGAAAAGTCTGGATCAAAACGTCGTATATCAAATTTCACCACTGACATCAAGGTACGTTTATTGTTAAAAACTGTTTAAAAAAACAATAACTGTGTATAAAAAGCTTGTTTATATCCAAGTTTATTGTGAGTAGAATAGAAATTAAATATTTTGATTTATCTGGTACTTCGGTAGTATTTGTTCAGTAGCAGCACCTTCAGTAGTATTCCTTCAAGGATTGAGTGTAAGGTTTCATATATGTCAGAGTGTCTGTAAATAGAACTAATTTATTAATTATGCTGTTTATTTTATTTGAGAGTGACCATCCATATGAAGTTTAGTATTTAAGGACTGACCACAAAATATATTTAGCACATCTATACTGTATGATTTAATAACAAGGTTAAATATTGCTTGCAAAAAGCACAAGAATTTTACAATTTATTGACTGCTTTCAAAAGTTGATATAGAGAAGGTTTAACATGCATTTAAAAAATTTAGCAGGATGTGTAAATTTAGCAGTATGGTGTATTATTAAAAATTTAGCACTATGTGTGAGTATTTAGCAGCAGTGTTTACTTTTGAATATGATTGCAGTGGAAAGTAAAAAGTTTCTTAGTATTAGCAATAATATTTATAATAATTTCAAGGTTTCATTATAGTGGAAAAACTTAGAAGTAAATTACCAGACTGTTATTTATATGAATTGTGTGACTGCTACTCGTTAGTTTCTAGTGTGACTATGTTCTAGCTTGTCTTTTCCTATCCTCAAATTAATTGTTATAGCTCTGAGACTTTGAGCATCGTTTCGTTTCAAGAAGTAACGTTATGCATGTACGAAACGTTGCTTCTATCATAATATGGCTATTGCTGTTTGCAGTAAGACTTGTAAATCAAAAAGTGTAACAAAAAATTGCATGAAAGAAACTGTATTAAAGCAGTAAATTGCTAAATTAGTTTAGGAGGAGAACTGGAGGATGTCTGCTAATAACTGGAAGGTGTTTGCTTAGGTTTTACATATTCACCTTTTATGCATAAATATAGCTGAAATGGGTAGATCTGACATTTGTTATGAGTTTTTTGGAATTGTTCCATATTTCCGGTTTACTCATTTTGTGGATATATCTTCAAATATAGGGGTCAGTGTAGAAAGGTGATTTGATTTAAATTTCTTAGGAAAAAATATTTGAGGTAATTTAGAAGTTGCAAAATATACATGAAATTTCTAATTTTTATTAGTAAATGCCAGTATGAGCTCTGTAAGTCTTTTGTTATGTGAAATGTTTGTGGTTTACAGTTCCCATTCTTTTTTCACTAAATCTTGTATGTAAAATGTCAGTATCAATTCAAATTTTTAAAGAGAATGCATATCTGTTTACATATGAAAGCCAAAAAGAGTATGTATGACAGAGGAATATTATTATTGCAATGAAACTACATTCCTTGATCACAAGTTTTTCTGCATGTACTTTAATAATTGTACCATCTTACAATTTTCTCATTGAAAGGTGTTATAAGTTTTCCTACTGTTTGTTTCTTTCATAAAATGCTATACTTCAACCATATTTTTTATATAATTTCCTTTTGTGTGTGTGTGTGCATGCGCACATGCAAGCCGAGGAACCTGAAATCTTTTAGTACATTCAGCGTTTCTTCAGCAGGAATTATGATATTGATCTTTGATGATGTTGGCTGAAAAGTGAAGGTAACAGCATGTGCTCTGTTGCCTAAAAAATTCCTACCCTTTTCCTTTACCAGACCTTTCCATAGCCATTTTTGCTTTTCAGTCAAAAAGGTGTGAATCTTGCTGCAATGCAGTTTTTCTTATGTTCATGCATTTTTTCAGAATATGAAGCACAGTTTATGCAATAATTTTGTCACTTGTGCAAACTCACACATTATTTGGTGTAGATCCATCTCTAGTGCCATGCCAGCAGTCTTTTCACTAACTGTGAGCAATCGAATTGACATATATCTACCCTACTTTGACAACTGAAGGCTTTTAAGGGCAATTCATACTTCCTAGATGCCTTACAAGTGCTTTGAGGACACTATTTCCCTCTGTGAAAATGGGCACATTCAGTTAATCATTATGAATTTTGCTATTCCTCTTTTGAGAGCACTTTAGTCTTCCAGCTCACACGAGTTTGTCTTCTCATGGTGTATATGCATAGATTTGGAAGGGAGAGCCCATTTACCGTAAGGTAGCTTAAATGTTGAACAAACTTGTGGTAAAGTGGGAAGCACTGATTCCATTTCATGATAATATATATATATCTATATATAGGTAGAGGGTGAAACATGGCTAGCTCCAGTGCATTTCTGAAGGTATATTAGGTGTCACTGGGCTTTCTCAACATTAAGCTCCATGCCCGTTTTTTTGTACTAACTACTTGAGAGGACCTTTGGCTGAGTTATTTTGAGGGTTGCCTTGTCACACAGACAGTATAGATTTACAAATATCAATGCCATCTGCAGGATTTGAATGTGGATCTATCAGTACAGTACTGTCTGAATGGCATACTATACATACAGTAGCATTATCCATATTAAATATCTTACTATATATCACAGTATATTTTTAATTTAATCTAATTAATTATACTGCAGAACATTGAAATTGCTTTGCCATGACGCCGGCATGCAACAGATGTCAAATTTGTATGAAAGATACTGCATGCTGAAATTTGCTAATGATTAGTGTTCCAGCTTTTGCACATAAAGCATGTATGGATAATACCATCTGCATTGTGTATAAATGTGAAAATTGCACAGCAGGTTTCTCATTTGGATTTGGGTGTTTGTGAAAAGGTTGTTATGCTTTGGCAAGGGGAAATACCTCATAAGAAGGAGAAACTTCTACTGGTGCATGTCAGAATTCAACTGCCGCAGGATTGTGGCCTATCTGGATTGTGGTTTATCATACCCTGATATTGTTGCTCGTGATCCTCGTTGGTCATGATCCTATGACTTGATAGTGACTGTAGAATCGGTGTGTGCAGAAGGGTCATGCTGAATGCCATATAGGATCTCGATGACTCGGCCCACCCCACTAACACCTGAGAAAACAGCTGTGTTGCCTTCTCTACTTTGCAAATTGTACAACCATGAGTCAATAAACTGGTTGTGTGCAGGATAATTGTTCACACAGACAGTACAGCAACATCACAGACTGTCAGCACAGTCACTGTTATTGCAGCTTCCCTTGATGCAGCAGTAGAGGCAAGCATGCTGACAGTGGTGTGACAAACTGTGACACTGCACACAAGACTGGCACCATATCATGTTTTCAGATGAATCTTGGTTCTGTGTGTGTGTTAAGACTGCTGCCTCAACCAGCACTTCCAGATCTCTGACTCATTGACAGCATAGGGTCATGGGTTGATGAAAGACTGACATACCACCACTTGTGAGCCACTATGATTGATGAATTCTAGCATAGAGCTGAAGGCACACCGAATGCTATACCCATATCAGTCATAGAACTGTATGCCCAGCCAGCTTATTGCCTTCATTACTGCCAGAGGTAGTAGCCCTGTGTAGTGAATTCTACACACTGTATACCCTAAATCTCCTGCAAATTTAATTGTCTTCCTTCCATTATACTGTATGTTCCTTCCTAGTATTGCAGTTTTAATGGCCAGCAGTGTAAATCTGTTTTTTATTTATGTTGGTGATGTGTAAGTAATAATGCATTATTGTTACTGGTTGGTAATATTAATGAACTAGGAAGTTATTTTAAAATTAATATTGAGTTTGGCTATACTTGTTCTTTCTATATGAAAGACCATTCTGAATGTATGTAATTCTTTGATTAAAGATTTATCGCTTATAAGTTGTATGTTTGATATTTTGAGCATCATTTTGTTGAAACCATAACATATGTTTTCAATCGTGTAAACCAATAATGTGGTATTTGTTCCATGCAAGTTTTTCTAAATATCTATTTAAAGATGCACTTTTTACACTAAAAAAAAAATCTGATTTTGTATTTCATGTGAAACGCAGTGTAAAACAGTGTTCTGAAGATTACAAGTCTCATTGTTGGAAATAATCAGGTGTTCACGATCTCTACCTTTTTCTAGGTAAATCTAGTTCCTTCTAGCCTTGTTTTGTAAGCTGATTATATTTTTTCCTTTCTTTAGTAAATATTCAACAACTTTCTAATGATCTTTTTATCCATAGATCATTCAAATAACTCCCAAACTTTAACCTTGATTGAAATTGCTTCTTTAATTGTTGCATATACTCAAAACAAAACAGCAGATTCCATAGCTTCAACATAGCTTTGGCAGTTTGTCATTATGCACTGAACAAAAATAAAGGGAAATAATGGAATAAAAGATAAAAAAAGAGGTAAATGATAGTGTTTGTTCATTAAAGACTAATTTAGTTTTCAATATTTGGCAATATTGATGCTATTTATTTATAAAAGATTAACTTAGTGTGTTATATTTGGGCATGAGTTGATGATGTTTGGATTTTTTAAATGTTCTTACATTGCTGAATTTTCTTTTGTTAAATTCCCTTGTTTTTAGTGTTTAATTTAGAAATATTAATATATAAATATAAACTTTAGAAAATATGCTTAAAAATGCATGATATTTCTGAAATCAGTTTCTTAAATTTCATTTCTGCCATAAATAGTTTGACATTATAGGCTGATTTCAGCTAGCTGTTCTATTGTTTTCAAATTAACTCATTCTTTTATGCTAAAGCTTATTTAATGTTAGAATTTCACTGTAAATGAACCAAAAAATTCATGCCATCTCACCACCAATTCCATAGCTTAAATGCAGCATGTTCATAACTGGAACTTCTTTTGTTTAATGTTTACATCCTGGTGCCCTTTGCACTTTTAGTCATTTTTTTAACAGCTGCAGATAAACCATTGTAAAATTGTTTGATGCTTCTAATGGTATGACGTGCATCAGTCAATATATGTAATTAGAACAGTCACTGCCATTTATGAGGATATTTGTAGTTTGCAAAGTGAGTTTACTTGCCAGCTACAAGATAACTTGTTATTAATTTTTTTACATAAATCACCAAGTATGAGTATCATTGTAGCAAATGCATGCAATGTTTAGGTGTTTGGCATGGCATACAGGAAGGAACTAAATAATGCATTTGGCATTATTGGATTATTTATTTCTCAAAACACAGATAAAATAACTTAATAGAACACAAAACTTTTTTTTCTGTGGTTTATTTACTTGGGAAATGTTATGAATGGGCTGCTCAAATTGTGATGATTTGTATAAGATTAATGAAAATAACATGTCACATGTGCAGGAATTTTACATGAATATACAAAATGTGTGAATATTGTTGATGTAGTTCTGATTTATCACGTAGTTCACACAAGGAACAAAAATATTATTTCATATGCTAACTACGAGTATACCTGTGTGAATTTATTTGCTGCTAAAACTGATCTGTTATATCTATATTTAAGTAATAAAACGAGAAAAAATAATATCCATAAAAATGCAGGTAAGTTCTTGGCATGTGTGAATAGATACGAACACATTAAGTACGTCTTGAGACCAGGTCACTGAATTGCAGCTGTTTTTATTGATCATGAAGGTAAAGTAATTAATTTTTTGTAATTTTATCGTGGATGATGGTCTCCTTGCGAAAAAAAGAGTATTTTTAGGTGCATTATATAAAGGTTATAAAATGTTATTCTTGCTGTAATTCTGATGAATGTCTTTTGAACTTTTCATAATTTCTTGGAAAATTATTCCTTTGATAATCTTTACCATACCCTTTCCCTCTCGTAAGTTGCATAGAAGCTTGAAGAAAGTTCATTGAAACAATTTTCTTTATCTTTTTGTAAAACAGTACATGCTTTTATGGAAAGTATTTTTGTGGATCTCTCTCTGCATAATATATATATATATATCTGAAATATGTTTTCTATAATATTTCATGATCTTTGAATTTTATTTAGGACTCTGAAATATACAGTTATCTCTTGAAGCAAATAGCACCATCAGATTCTGGTGTTACTTTAGAAGCATTAATGGTATGTGCAATTTGAATATATGCAAATTATATTACTCCATGATTAAAGTTTGTGTTTTCCTTCTTAATTACAGCTGAGCTATGGTTAAATTATGCAAACAAGAAATATTAACACCTTTAGTTCTAAACTGTCAAGTTAGAGTATGAAGAAGAATTTCAGAATGAATGTCAGAAGTTATTTATTTAAGAATTATTTGAGTATATATTTAAAAACTTTTAAATTCTTTCACACTGGTTTGAAATTACACAGTGCTTAGTGGAGTTTCTGACAGAGTGTTTAATTGGCTATCAAAAAGATGTAATATATATATATATATATATATATATATGCACATTTACTTCTGTCCCCCAAACATTTAATAAAAGAGAGGATAATGGAGAATTCTCTATGATCTATTGGCAAAATTTGTTTTCCAGAAAAAGTAAGTTACTTGTATTAAATTTATGTATGGTTGTGTTAACGTATGTTCATTGATAGAAAATCACTTTCTGAGTTTCAGTTGAACTTCAGTGATCCAAAGTTGAAGGAAGGGTTAAAAGAATCTGATAAATAATCCTTGAAATCATAGAGTTCTTATAACGAATATCCGGTCATGTATGTTCATTTGAAAAATAGTAATGAAAGCTAATAAAATGCATCCCTTGTGCTAGGAATATTTTATATTAGTAGTGGCTGAAATATTGTAGGAAACTATTAATGTAAAAAGTATATTTTAAGATTTTTTTGATTATTTCTTAGAAAATATTATTCTATACAGTAATTGTATCTAATGTTTTGCAGTGTAGATTAAAAAGGTGAAATATCATAAATCTTAGTTTTCATTAATTTAAAATAAAAAGTTTGTGCTTGTCGAAAATAAACATTTCCTTGAAATTGATCTTTAGATTCTGAGAAAAAAGTTAAATTGGTTGAAAAGGTAATTAGAGGATGAAATTAGAGCATAGGAAAACCCAAAGTAATGAAAAAAAAAACATTCAATTAATTTTGGAGAAGTTTCTGGACATATCTGCCATGGTTTCGAGAACAACATTATCCAATATTTATTAAGAATAAAAAAGGTGAAGAATTTAATTTCAGTATCATTAGACAAAGTTCAGTTTATCAAATTTTTCCAATTAAAAAGTTCTAGGCTATCATGAAAAGATAATACATTTCAAAGCTGGAAAATATTGTTCAGCGTAGCAAAAGTTTTCAGATACTAAAAATTATATTATAACATGTCACCTTTTTCCTGTATTTTTGATACTGCAATGAAATTTATTGTGTAATATTAAGTTTTATAAAAATTGTACTGGATGTTTTGCAATATGTTCAATTTTGATAGTAAAATTTGTTACATATGACACATTGACATTTGCAGTGTTGGTTATCATTATCCATTAATGATCTGCATGCAGAAGTTCTTGAATTCATTCGACCTTTTCAGAAGTGATTCACATTGAAGGTCTAAATTTGTGGGTGACTTCAAGGGAAGACCACTTTTGGAGTGCTGCACCACTTAAAATATTGCGTACACTTCATTGCCTCGTCATGCTAAGCTTGCCGAAACATCTTCAGTGTCTGTGCTGATGTGCCTGTGTGTGTGTGATGAGTTTAACAGAAGTCTGGGGGAAGGCTAGTTTAATGCAAGTGGTCAGTGTCTGTGGGTAGTGTAACACAAAATTTCACATTCGCTTATTGTTCCAGCTTTATGATCATAATGTAATTGCAGACTACCACACATGTGTGATTACCAAACCTGTGCTTAACAATTCCTACTGCTAGTGCAGTGATGTCTTCTGGCACACTGACTTATCAAGACTGAAGATCACTGTAGCTGCTAGTGCCATTGTGTGCTGCATTTATTAGCATGCTACAAAGGTAATTTAGAAACATTTTTGTACACAATGTGAGTGTTTCATTGTTGCTATGTCATCTCTTGAAAATCAGCCTAAAATATGAGGAATCACTTTTTTGCATATGAGAGAGTATGAAGGCACTGTAAATGCACACTGATGTATGCAGTCCATTTTGCTATTACAATATTTAGTGTTAGTAATGTCATACTATGCATTATTTTAAATTAACCTGTACCATATTCCAGTATGCTGCATGAATATTGCATTTGGCTTAGCATTTGTTTTCATCTGAAGTTTCATTAAATCATTATAAGTCTTCATAATGAAATATTAGAAAAAGTTAGTTTTTAAAATATATTTTAGGTAATTGAATTATATCTGTATTTTGTGTGTGTGTGTGTGTGTGTGTGTATATAATGCAAAATAAAATTAAAAAAATACATCTAAAATTCATCACATATTCAATTTGGAGTAAATCACATGCAAAGACCAAAAAATCAGAAGTGCAGTTAGAAACCGGAAGAAATGGGAGATATACCAAGAATGAAATGTGGAATTTGCATCTTCCACTGCTTTGTCATCAGGAGGTTGGTGCAACGAAAGAATAAGCAAAACAGCCTGTTTCTGAACTGAAAAAGACTCAAAATTTAAAAGTAATCTTAGAAAAACAATGGGAATAATCGCTGTCTTCATCAGCCCAATCCCTTACAGCAAAGTAGGCGGCAGTGCAAAAAATTGAAAAATTAAATCTTCAAAAACATGGACAAATTCAAAAATCGTGAAAGAATAGGCAAATTAATAATATCTCCAGCAGCCCACTGTGTACATATATTATTGTAACTAATGTCTTTTTGTTTTATATTTTTTTATTACTTTGTTTTTAAATAATGTTTGCTATTATAATTAATCCTATTATAATTATAATTAATCACTCATTTAATGTATTTCATGATATGTAATGTATTTGTTAAGTTTTTTATGTATTTAACTTAATTGTATAACTGTCAGTATGCATTACAACTATGAACACATTGTGCTTGACAATAACAGTACCTCCTTGCAAGCAACAGTAACCTAACAGTGCACAAGAGAAGTGGTCATCGGCATTTCCCCCTTAGTCTTATCTGTCCCCACCATACACTTTCTTGTCATAATCTGCTTCTTCTTTCAGTACTTAGTACTTTCACTTAACATAGTCAATTTCCGGAGGACACAGCATTCAGCTCTGAATGTAATCAAATCCTGGAGAACACAGAACTAAGCTCCCCCCTTTTTTTAATTCCATTGACAGTATCCAACAGACTGAAGAGCACCTAACCCAGTGGGCTAACCAATCTGTCAATGGTGTAAAGTAGATAGAGTGCAGAAACAAAACTTTTAAAAATATAATCAAATATTTGAAAACAAAATATGCAGATTTTTTAAATCCAGTATTTAAGAAAAAGGAAACATTAAGCAAATTTGGAAAAGGTACAGGACGGGTTAAAAAAAATGGCATAAATGATAAACAAGCAAATTTGGAAAAGGTACAGGACGGGTTAAAAAAATGGCATAAATGACAAACAAGCAATAAAGCTTAAAAAATAAACATGCTGTTTTATTTACTTCCTTTCATTGTACCAATTTATTTATGCTGTTATGCATTGCTGCTACACTCTTTTGTAAGAACAAAGTAAATATCTGGAGGTCAAAAGAACAAAGTCAACTACTACAGTAAGAACTGTAGTAATATAAAAAAATATGAATGTTCTGCAGCAAGCATGATTAGTGTGCCAGTTTATTTGTGGCTACAATCATCAACTAAAATAAAAAAAGATATTTAAATTTGTCATGAATGTCTTGCTTCGATTATGCTTCAACATTTTTCAATATATCTATATTTTTACACACACACATATATATTTAACATATGTCATTTATTGTTAGAAAACTGATATGCTGGAACGAGCTGAAATTATGCTGAAGCAGGCGGATAAAATCGGATGTAGGAGTTTCTTAACTCCAAATGATGTCGTTGATGGAATTTACAAACTGAATGTGGCTTTTGTTGCAAATCTCTTCAATAACCATCCTGCTCTGGATCAACCTGATGAACCATTCGAAATGGTGAACTTAGAAGAAACTAGAGAAGAAAAAAGTAAGTTATATAATTACGGTTTCTGTTTGTATATTATTAAATCCGAAGCTACTGAAAAGAAATGCAATAAATTGTTATTATTTAGATTTGGAAGTTTTAATGAAAATCAGCAAAATCTCATGAGAAATTTTTGAACACAAAAAATGATCTATGCAGGCTGTCAAAATGAGCAGGATAAAAGTGTATACAGTCAAAAGTCGTTAATTCGGACACCCATGGAATGATCTATAATCCGGACCTCAAAGCTACAAACTTTCTGCGCATGCTTCGCGTTCACGCATGCGCACAGGCGTTTACGAGAGCGCGTAAGACCCTTACGGCTGCGAATATGTTTGTGCGCATGCGCGTTTAATGTGTAACGGAGTTATACGCTAAGCTAAAGTTATCTAATTCAGTTAATGTTGCAGATTGCGTTGTTCCTTAATCTTCGAATTGGATCCGGCTTATTATTTTTTGCAGACTGTTAGAGCAATTTTATAAAAGTAAGCTTGAACTTTCGATTATGTCAAATAGAATTTCCGATATATATTTACTAAAAAGCGAAAGTATGTTTTGAAATCCGAAATCTGTTTATCAATTTCACGCTGCTCTGCGGCAGAGGGGGGGGCAGAAACATCATTATTAGATTATGATAGATTAGAAAGATTATGTCAAATAGAATTTCCAATATATATTTACTAATATGTAATTTGTATCTACAAAGCGAAAGTATGTTTTGAAATCCGAAACGCCGCGGATTGGAAGTTGATCTGTCAACACTATCCTTATCTTCAGAGCAGATGTTTTTATTTTATTTGGATTATAATTCCGTACTAAGTTTAGTATTTCGTCTCGATGTACTCCGTCTTTGATATGATTTAAATCAAGTTCCTCTTCATTATAATTCGCTTCCGATAGTGAAGAATGTGACCCAGAGGTTATTGAAAACGAAAACATTTCGATTGACAAATTAGTCGGTATTCTCAACACAGCAATTATAGGACTTGAACAGCGGAACTTTGTAACTAAACAAGAAATTATGTCTGTTTAATAGAATTAAAGAGAAAGTATTATCACAAAAAATGAAACAAGAAGCAACTTACATTGAAGGAAATGTTTAATAAAGTAAACAAATAAATATTAAGCTTTTTCTTTTTGTAAATTTTGATACCCTTTAGATCATAATTGTTCTTTATTTCATAAATTACGGTTTCATATTTTTAATTTTGTAATTTTTGCATGCCATCTTACCAGATTTAAACTGATGATCTATAATCCGGAAAAATCGATAATCCGGAATCGCCGAAGTCCCGACGAGTCCGGATTAACGACTTTTGACTGTACAAGGAAAGACAACAGCAACAAGCTTCATTTCTCTGAAGAGTTAAAATAGGGTTTCTCTGTAGAAAAATCAAAAGCTGAGGAACTTATAAGAAAGGTATCTTGAAAGCATTAGAAAAAGAGAAATATTGGAAAGTCTCCAATTGCCAAAGGCTTTCCAACATTTCTCTCAAAACAGCTCCCAACTTCCAATCTCTCTCTCTATTATTCAAAAGTTTTGGTGCTTTGATCACTGCTTCAACGTGATTTTACCTTATGAATTGACACTAAATTTTGTGTGCCAACTTAAAGTTTAGTTTATTTGGAAATTTTACAGGTATTTATCTCAAATATGTGCAAGGATTTTCATAAGTATTCATCTCTTGGAAATAACGTGACAAAGCGGAGATTGAGCACCTTTTGATGGGTGGATTTATGAGTGACTGTGGTCAGGATTGTTGGCTGTTTGCGTGAAGAGTTCTGAGTAGGGAAATCGCTTTGGCAGAGTTCTATATCAAGAGGGTTCTGGTACTGTTTAAAACTAATGAGAGGCCATAGTAATAAGGAAATACCTTTTCAACTTTTGTTACAAAACGTCTTTCTCCTAATATATTTTTCTTTCTTTTATTTATACTATTTTCCCTGTTTTAAAGTAGGGAAAATTACAGAAAATAATTCTAATCTTGGTGTATGGACAAACCTCAGTAATTTTTCTGTTGTAATTTCTCTATTGATTAAGAGCGAAAATTTAAAAAAAATGTTCATTGTACTTGAAAAAGTTTTCTCTAATTTTATTCTGAATATTGAAATTACTAAAGTTGACTTCTGCACATTCATACATGTATGTAGTTTTTAGAATAACATATACTATTTAATTAAATCTGAAAATTCAGAGATGATAAAATTATTGAAGAAATTTTCATAAAGCTAAAGGAAATTCTTCAAAGGGATATTGCTGACGATATCAACAGATACTTTATTGATGATACAGAGACTGGTAGAAACATGGATGTTTTATGAAAGCAAATGAACTTAGGATAGTTAAAAGAAAGGAAATAAATATAAATAAGCTAAAATATTCAACAAAAGCTTCAGATTAAAAACACACTAATTTGTAATATTAAGGATTTTTTTCCTGTATTTTAGTGTATGATTATTCTAATATATTTTTTAACCAAATTTTATGTGTAATTTTATCTGTTATTTTAAATTGCAAGATTTCTTTAGGTTGTGATTTTAATACTTTTTAATATATTTTTTTCAAAAAATAAAACAATTTTGTGTAATTGGAGAGTACTTTTTACTCTATTGATTTGCGTAATAATTTAAACGGCACTAGATTTAACTACTTACCAACATTTTCGCAATTTCAAAATCAGTTTGTATAGAAAATTTTTTATTCGGAGATTTTGATTTTTTTTTACGAACGTAAGAACAATGATAAATATCATAAAAATAACAATAATAAATGAAAATTATATTTAAGAAATAACATTAAAATAAAACATTTTTATTTTCGCCTGTCATATTTTAAAGAGATATTACTTTCCATTTTGGTGACTTGGAAATAATTTATTCTGAAAAATAAACAAGGTAATAAATACTATAAATTACAGTTTCTGAAACATGTCTGAGAAAAAACAAAAATGCTACTGTAATTATTTCAAAACTGATATTGTCTTTTTTTAAATATATATATTTTTGATTCCCCCCCCCATGAAATTGTTTCAGAATATTTAAATCTGTATCAGTTTTCTCTTGAAAATTCACTTTACACTTCCCTTTTATGATTTTTTTTTCAAAAGTCTTCTGGCTTTTTGCACTTATACAGTTGGTAGGGATAATTTTTCTTTTGGATTTTAGATTTTGCACCTTGAAGGGTCTAAGATTTATAGATTATTTTAAAGGCAAGATTTACAGACATAATTTCCAGAAAACGTGATAAAATGTAAAGTGTCTTCATGGTTATTAACATGTAATAGATGTGTTTTATAGGAAATTTCTGGTGAATTATCTTTTGGCTAATCTTTGGAAGAACGGTGAAAAGTAATTATTTGAATTTTCTCCTTTGTATCTCAGAAATCTGTAATATGTTCATCTTTCTTTTATTTTATCTTTTCACTCGATACAAGCATCAAAGTAATCAAAGAAAGCAAAGAAATTGAAAACTGACAGTTAATTCAAAGATTCATTGCATATGTCTCAGTGCCTGCCATAAATTCTAAAAATTTTGCCCTAAATTTTGTTGATCTTTTTGCTTCTCTAAATTCTAAAAATTCTGCCACCCTGGCTACAGCACCAGTTTTGATCTTTTATCATTTCATATCTTCATATAAGTTTTCAATAATCACATTATTAAAGAAATAAAATTAACTGTTTTTTATTTACATTCTAAGTACATGCAGTTCTTTAAAATAACAAAAATATTTAATTAAATCTGAAAGTTCGAAAATGAAGAGGAACTTCGTTGAAAAGAGAAATTGATTTTATAAAGAGAGAGAAAATTATTCTTCAAAGAGAAAATTCAAAAAGTGTTGAAATATTAACAAATTAGGAGATGAAGTGCAAATTAGTGGGAAGATTGATTTGTTTATTGAAAAACTGATAAAAGATTCCAAAGAGAAGGGAAATCTATGTAAATTAGCTAAAAAAGTGTAGAAAATTTTTAAGTAATAAGCATATTCTTGCTTTTTGTTGCTACAAAACAATTCTTTTGTAGCTTTTAATGTATAGTTATACTAATATCGCTTTAGACATTATCATAAATTATAACTGCTACAAAATGTTCTTAGTGCTCTTTTAATGGACCTTTTTTTTTTATTAGGAATTAAAAAAATTGTAATTATAGCCGTATAAATCTATGAGTAAGAGCTCTAACTACATAATTTAATTATTTGTTACTAACTGCTCACCCTTAAAAGTTATCTTTACATGCTAAGGTAAGTTAGTTATCTTCTTTCCTTAATCCTAATTGTGTATGCAAGATACAATACAAAAATGCAAGAATTAACGTAAAAATTATTCCTTACAGCTAATAATACTCAAAATAATATAAAACAACCCCTCATCTCTGGTAGTTCAGTGGCTTATTGGAACTTTATATTAAATACTGTACATTAACCCTTTGCGACACGCATATTTAAAATATATTTTAATCTTTAAAAAAATGCCTTAGAATTAGTCAGATGGACTTACTTAAGTGCCTTTAAGGCTTGAAAAAAATTCTGCGCTTTTATTTTTTACGGTGGAAGGTGGGATACCGTTTGTCCCACCATGCAACTAGCACATGTCTTATAGCATATTGGTGTATAGCAGGAAAAAAAATCTTATGTGGAATGAATAAACAAAATAAAGCGTGCATTCTAAAATATTCATAATAAACACACTAAAATGCATTTTGTACTTATTGCATATATGCATGACTTGTAAAATTTTGCATATGCACATTTTGCATATAGTATATATTTAATATTTTTTAAATTTTAGGAACGAAAAGAAAATATTTTCTTGAATATTATTTTAAGATTAAAATTTGATACTCGTACATATGATACTAAATAAAATATTAAAATTGGCACTTGATTCAAAAACATTTATATATGATTAAAATTGAAAAAAAATTTTTCATGAAACTTTGAAAAACATGTTGTTTCATTCTTTTGTAAGCATAGAGGCACTTCACATGTTTCTTTCACACATCC